GAGTTATTTTAAAGCAAACTTTAGGCATTTACTGAAATATTTTAAGTAATTTACAGACATGACATTTTGTCTTTGTTTATTTCAGCATGCTTCTTTAAGCAATAAAGGCAGTTTCCTTCTTTCTTTTTTAAATTTATTTTAATTAAAAAAAAATTTTTCCCCCTTAAGGAGGCACTGGGGATTAAACCCAGGACCTCATGCACGCCAAGCATGCACTGTACCACTGAGCTCTACCCCCACCCTAGAGGCATTTTCTGATATGTGTTTCACAAATAAAAAAATTAACAAAATTGCCTAAGAAAACAAGGTGGTGTGTAGGTAGGACATTAAATAACCCTAAGGCAGGTGTAATAAAGTGAATCACTTCATAGTCTCTTTCAGGTTGTGTTTAAGAGAAAGGCTTGGTTTGGTGCCCGGACTTTCACAGCCCTGTCCAGCACTTGGCTAATTAGGCCTGGGCTCAGAGCCTCCGGCAGCCAACGCTGTTTAACTAGAACCTAATCATCTGGTTTTGTTCTTTTTTCTTTATTCTTGCGGCTGTCTCCTGTTTGTGATGAGCGATGCTCTTCTGTCTGCAGGAGTGACAAGACTGGGAGTGCAGGGCACCTTGGGTCTGGAGCCAGGCTGTCTGAATTTAAAACCTCCGTTTGCCACTTACAAGCTCTATGATTCAGGGCAAGTGATTCAGCCTTTCTGTGCCTCAGTTTTCTTGCTGGGGAAATAGGGATGACAGTTGAGGATGCTTGGTTGGGGGTTCGGGGTGACGTTATCATTGTTACGGTTGCTTTTACCTCAACAGCCCCGAGGTCTAGGGGCTGCCGCCACCTTCCTTGATCCCAGTCCAGAAAGGCTCCTACCTTCCTCATCCTCAAAATGATGGTGGTTAAGGACACAGACGCTGGAGCCAGACACTTGGCTTCAGATCCTGGCAACTCATTAGGCTGTGTGACCTCAAGCAAATTACTCTACCTCTCTGTGCTTCTGTGGCCTCATTTGTAAAATCAGGATGATAGTGAATTGTAGTAGGTTTTGCATGAATTAATTCATATAGACTTGGAATACTGCCTGCTGCTTGGTAAGCACCCCAGTTAGTAAAAAGATGACTCTTTCACAGAAAAAGTAATTAAGTAGAAAAAAAAGGTTTTATGTTGACATGGTAGAAATTGCAGAGGTGCTGTGAGGAATGTCGGAAGGTTGGGAAATAAGTTTTGGAGGAGATGGGAGTGAACCAGGCACAGCTCCCTGGCCCCAGAGCCCACATCTGATTGGGGAGATAAACTCTGAACGCAGTCCGGGGAACACGGGGTTGATGTCCTGTGTGAGACAAGGAAAGTACTGAATAACCACCATGGAGAGGTCAGGAAAGTGAGCGGCTCTTACAAGCGCCTTTTGTTGGTACATCTTCCTGTTAGATGAAGAGCAGGCTCTGTGTGGAAGAGGAGATGTCTTGTCTTGTTCTCTGAGTTGTAACTTTCACGTTACTAACAAATCTCACCAGCATGTCATTTTGGTCCATAAAAACAGGAGTTTCTTCCTGACAGGGGAAGTCACGTTTCTGATTTCGTGGGCTTTTTTCCTTCTGAAAGGAGGTGTTGACACAAATAGTCAACAGATGATCTACACTAGGAATAGAAAAGAGTATTCTCCGAGCCAGACTGAGAACGCTAGCCCGCGAAACAGCCTCTCTGATAGCTCCGGGGAACCGCTCCGGGGAAGCCTGGTTTTCAGCACAGGTTTACATCTTGTTAGAACAAAGAACATACAGTAGACACGACCAGGGGTACATTCCTTCAAGGTTTCAAAAAGAAAAAAGAAAAAGATGAGCGTGTGCATAGCGAGTCAGCATGGCCTTGGCCGTGGGAAGGGGCCTTGTCTCTGGAGGGCTACCTGCCTGGGGTAGTAGGAAGGGGGGTGTTTACCTCTGTCCTCAGAGTGGACATGTTTTACTCCTGGTAAATGCATTCTTACTACCCTTTAATTGGTTAAAGCAGATGTACAATGTCTGTTTGACAGGCCATGAGGCAGGCTGTTCGAGTTAGCATGAAGTTCAAACCAAATCAGGTGTACCCCAGAGCGATGGCCCCACACCTTGCGATGTGGAAGTTTCTCCCATCAGAGGTGTATGTGTTTTGATCTCCGCACAATCAATATCCTCACCAAGTGTTTGGATGTCTGTTTCAGGAGCAGCGGAGCAGAGGAGAGGAGGAGGAGAGGGGAGGGGAGAATTCGGAAGCCGCCATCATGCAGCGAAGTATCATGTAAGCATCCCACCCGCATCCCACCGCCACCCCGCCCGCCACCAGCCCCGCTCTCCAGCTCCCTGCACCTCTCTAGCCCTGTGCCTTTTCTTAGAAGATCTCGGGTTAGTCTCCATAGAGGAGTTTGCAGGAGTTGAGCAGAATGGAAAATGGGGAGTGGGGTAGGATAGTGACTGAAATTTTTAGTCGCTAGGTTCAGAACTGCTAACTCAGTGTTTCTCAGTCAGGGGCAGTTTTGCACCCCA